ATTTGACATCTACAGGGGCAATGAGGAGGGAGTGCAGCACAGCACAGGAGTTCCCAAAGGAGACACACAGGCAGAGAGGAATGGAGGAAGCTGAGGGCACAGATGGAATGAAACCCAGAGCTGGAAAACCTTACATGTGCCCATGGGTAGAGAGAAGATGGTCAGGTGAGGTTGTGGTGGAGGTCCTTGAATGCCAGCTGAGGAGTTCAAGTAGTATTGTTCCATGAATTGTCAGGAATAAAGGAGCCAGGGACTGGCGGAGCCACTCTCTAGGTCAGCTGAGACAGTGCTTAGCATCTGCCTCAGTGGAAGGTGTAAGCCGTGGCTTCGGTCACAAATATCAAATGAACCTGTCATTTCTAGGAGTTCTCCTGGGTGTGATCTCTTCCTCTGTCTCCTCCTCTGATGCTTCTGCTCTTCCCCCTTTTTCTCACTGACTTCCACCCTCCTACACGCCTTCCAATAGAGGCTGATCCTTGATTCCTTTCTGGGTGAAATAATTTCCATATGCACAAGTGAGTGGAAATATATGTGATTTGTGATGAGTCTATATGCACAGAGATGTAAGTCTGTTTGTTCGGTCACTAGAAGAACTAGTGTTGCTCTTGTGAGTGAGAACAGAGTCTGCAATCATACCTGATTCAAATGGCTGAACCTTGTGGGCCTCAGTTCTTAACCTGGGTAGTGGGAAGAAGAATCATTAGATACTATCTCAAAGCAAGGGCTGCTGTGTTTGTCAGGAGCCAACCATGCAGATATAACCTAGTCTCTAAGGTCCAGCAATCCTGTCTAGTCAGAGAAACTCTCACCAAGTGATGCCGTGGTGTCAACATGGCAAGGATGGGAACACAGCTCCACGCTGTCATCCACAGCAGCCCAAGGAAATGTCCTTACTCTTTTAGGGACCTCTACTTGGATAATCCTTGGCTTTGACACAGTAAAGAATTTCAGAACTAGTCAGTATGAAGTAGATCTGGAGCTTATTAAAGATACTTAAAAATAGACTTTAAGCACAAGTGGTAAGAGAAAGAGGGGCCCTCAAGCCAGGTGTGGAGGTGCATGTCTTTAATCCCAGAACTTGGGAGGCAGCGTCAGGTGGATCTTTGTGAGTTTGAGGTCAGCCTGGTCTACATGAGTTCCAGGCTAGCTGGGGCTACAGGGAGCAGGGAGACCCTGTCTCAAAAAGATGAGAGAGAGAGAGAGAGAGAGAGAGAGAGAGAGAGAGAGAGAGAGAGAGAGACCCTCAAAGGAAGAATAAGACATACCCAAGCAAATGAGTGTGGGCTTTTCAGGGAAGAACAGAAATGAAGTCTCACCTTTAGCTGTATATAGCATTTTGGTGGCTCTCAAGGTGGATCTCAAAGGGTTGCTAAGCAACTTTCCCCTATTTCTTGTGGGAGTCAGCTCTCCCCTTCTACCATATGGATTCCCAGGATGCAACTCAGGTCATCAGGCTCAGCAACAAGCCCAGTTATCCACTGAGCCATCTTGCTGTCCCTCTCTCTTTTTTGGTAAATGGCCTTATAGGGTGGCTCCAGAGGTGCCTTAGATGGAATTATAATCTGATAAAGTGAAACCAGGGGTCATTAAGGTTGTATAAGGGGTTTAGGACATGTTTTTTTGCTATAAAGGGTGTTTCCAGTGAGATTACCAGAAAAATCACAGGTTTACAGCTGGGAAAGAGGAAAGACATCAAGCAAATGCTAATTCTGTTGGAATTTTAAAATTACATTTATTTATTTGTATTTATTCTGTGTACGTGGGTGGGTACGTATATTCCACCATGCATCTGTAGAGATCAGAGGACAACCTGTGGGAGCTGGTTCTCTCTTCCACCATGTGAGTCCTGGGATATCTAATTCTGGTGGTCAGGCTTGATAGCAAGTGCTTTTACCCTCTGAGTCAACTAGGTGGCCCCTGTTGGAATTCTCATTGTGGTGAAGCTTCCACCAGGCTCCTTTCTCTTTCCATGCCCCCATAATTTTCCATCTTCTATACTGCCTCAGTGGGACACTGGTAGCTCTGTGTGTTTGTCAAAGTGATGGGTGCACAGAGGGACCAGGACCTAGATTTATTCCAAAAAGCGGCTCTTCAAAACTTGGTGCAGGTCATGAGGAGGTAGAGACATAATGAAAAGTCCAGCACAGTGCCATCTGTGAAGATTAAAACTGGCACAATGAGCCACCAAGATGGCTTAGCAGGTAAAGGCGCTTGCTGGGAAGCCTCGAGACCTGAGTTCGATGCCCAGGATCAACAACATAAAGGTGGAAGAGAACCCATTACACAAGTTGTCCTCTGACTTCAACACGCGCCCCGTGGCACCTCCACCCCCATATCAATTACATGTAATAAAACAGACACGAACAAAGTGACAGCAAACACAGGAAAGGAGATTAAGCAAAGACACAGGGCCTCGTCCTGACGGTTCTACAGAGCTGACTGCAGAGAGGGATCCGCGCCCATCCAATGCACCTTCGGTCCAAACAAACACACACATACTTCACAACACAATGCGCAAAGACATTATCCTGGTGGGTCTGCGCAACTGGAAAGTTTGTGGGGACCCACACCTGCTCCTCCCTCGCTCCACTGGGATCCTCCCTCCTTCTAGTACCCGCAGGCTTAACGGGATTGGCTCTGCCACCTCCGCCCCCCGGAACATTGCCAAGACCCTAGCCGGGGGTGGGGGTGGGGGTGGGGGTAG